AATGTGCAATGTCAATCAGCAAATAAGCAGACATTTAATGTAATATTCAGTTGATATATAGCTACTGACCATACTTTACTGCCAAGGCCAGTAAGGTATTGTCATGCATGAAAAAGGGCATTCATTCTCGGTACGAGAATATAATTTTGCCTCTTTATAAATCACTGGTAAGACCACATATTGAATATGCTGTGCAATTTTGGGCACCTGTTCTAAAGAAGGATATTATAGCACTAGAAAAAGTGCAGAGGCGGGCTACAAAATTAATAAAAGGAATGGAACATATCAGCTATGAAGAAAGATTAACAAATTTAAACCTATTTAGTTTAGAAAAATGTCGCCTGAGAGGGGATATGATAACATTATACAAATATATTCGGGGCCAATACAAACCATTGTGTGGAAATCTATTCACAAACCGGACTTTACATAGGACACGAGGTCATGCGTTTAGAAAGAAGATTTCGTCTAAGGCAAAGGAAAGGGGTTTTTTTTTGTTTGTTTTTTATTCTTTATTTTTCGCTCTGCCAGTCAAGCATGGTTACAATAGTGCAAACAGAGGTGGATACATGACCGTACAAGTTTTTTTTGTTTGTAGTACAGAATACAGGGTAACATAGTTAGTACAGGCATCTGTCACATACTGTGCACATTGGGTGCGTTGCCGCCAGAGTTTTTCGTTTGTGTTGGCAAGCAGACAAAGAGAAAAGAAAAGGAATAAAAAAAAAAAAAAAAAAGAGAAAGAAGTAACTATGTACAATGGTAGAATTGTTGAGGAGTGTGCTGCCATGAACTCTCAGGTTGGCTGTGATGAGTGTGTTGCGTTGTCTTGGCCCAGGCGTATGTGTGGGGTATCCTGAGCTTGCCCAGGTAGGTCAGGCATTGTGCCCTCCCCGTCTGCTCTGTCCCTGCCACCTTCTGTGTGCTGTCATTCCGCTATGCGCGTAATCAGGCAGGGTCTGACAGTGTTGGAGCTTTTCTCTCCTCCTGTTTGTTTACATGGTCTGGTGTGCTTACAAGAGACAAAAGCATATAAGGAAAGGATAGATAGATATAGACAAGTAGAGATTGCAGCGTGTTAAAGTACGGAAAGGAGGTGATCTCCTGGGAACCGTGAACCCTGTGTCCTGACCAGGGATAGCTGCGGGAGGTCCGGGCAGGACCAGTGTTGTGCTACGGCCCTGCGGGCCGCTAAGTAGATCATGTTGAGGAGTTTTTGTTCGTGTCTTGGGAGGCCCACCGTGGGTCTGGATAAAAGGCACGCCCATGGATCTAGTGTCATCCGTTTTTGTAAGATTTGGGAGCTGAAGTTTACTATGCTGCGCCAGTAGGTCGCCACCTTTGGGCATTCCCACCACATGTGTATGTAGGTGCCCTTCCCCCCACATAAGTGCCAGCAATCATCTGTAGGACGCAATTTCATGTGTTTTTGTTTCACTGGAGTCGTGTACCAACGGAATAGCGTTTTATATGATTGTTCTTGGAGTGTTACGCAGATAGTGGTTTTGGTGCATGCCTCCCAAATGTCCTGCCACTCCGTTCCCTCTAGTGCCTCCCCCAGGTCGTCTTCCCACTGGTCAGCGTATCGGAGTGCGCCCGTCATGTGTCTGGGGTCGTGTTGAGGTGGTTGTATAGTAATGTAATTAGCTTGGATTGTGTAGTCTCCGTATAGCATAGTCTCTCGAAAAAGGTTAGTGGTGTCAGGGCTGCCTTTTTTACGTCAGGGCTCTGTGCAAAGTCTCGGATTTGCAGGTACCTGAAATAGTCTCTAGTTTGCAGTGTGGCTTTGGTGTTCAGGTGTGCGTATGTGACTATTTCCTGGTTTATAAATAGGTGGACGTATCTTTGGAGCCCAGTGGCTTCTAGCCCCTTGTAGTCCCGGGCCCTCATTCCCGGTGGGAATGCCCTATTCCGAAAGACCGGTGCCATGGGAGACAGAGGGGGCTCAATGAGTATTTCGTTTTAGTTTGGTCCCATATCCTTATTGTGGGGATATTTATGAAGTGAATTCAATTCTCAGATCCCAAAGATCGTTATTGTGTTAAGTGGAAAGTATTTCATATAAATAAAATCACAATTTTGTTATAAAAATAGATTTTATTTTATAATAACCAATAATTAACAATAATATTATGCAACATGCATGACAATAATCAATGAATATCCAGTATAAATGGTATGCAATACAAAGGAATGGGTATACACGTTTCAATGGCTAAACAGCATTTTCTGTCAAGACTTACACGATTTATGACTATCTTTCACAGAGAGAAAGCGAAGCTTTTCACAGCGAAGGGCCATAAAACCCTGGCTAACAGTTAGAATAACCCTTTCAATGCTGGCTAGATCTCCTAGGTAATTAAGATCTATTCTTATGTAATTTTAAATAAAATAACATTTAAACCAGTTCATTAGTCATTTCCTGGAACCATCCAATAAGAGAATCTACCAGATTTTATATGTAGAATTTAATTTGTCTAAAAGATATCTTATCTTATATTAGAGCAAATCAATACACCTGGATAAAAACAGCGGTATGCTAACATGTGATACTATCACATTAATATATAATTAATCTTAATTCCACCTGCAGAATGGAATGTTTATAACTATATATTCTTTAGTTAACTAAGATTTCTTAATATGGAAATCTGACTGTGATTTATCCAGTCATATATCATGCTATTAGTACATTTTAATTAATTTAATTAATTAAATGAAGCCAGTATAATTACCAGTTGAGTAGATATTTCATCCGATTGGTAGTCTCAGGAACTTGTTTGGATGTCTCTCTGCATGGAGGTGTGTAGGAATTTCTGAGTGTCCTAGAGTGTCATTACTCCCCACTGCTCACTTCTTTTTCCTTTCTTTGCATACCCTTGCATTTCTCGTCTACCCTTCCCCCTCTTTGTCTTAACTTTTAAAGGGCCAGACTCTCTGTACGTCATCAGTTGATAACCCAATAGAAGCACTAGAGGTGTGGTTATCTAGGGATCGCAATTTAGGTATTTGGTCTATAGAGGGCAGTCTCGTCCCACTAAACATACCTATCCAGGAAAGAGTTAACTTTTCCTGGTGGCTATTTTGACGTCATTTTGCTTTATCTTTATAGTGGCCATAATTTAAGTTTTCTGTCAGATCAAACAGTTTCTTTAAGTTTTGTCCAGACTATGTGTCTGGCAAATTCTGAGTTTTGACCCGTAACTTACAATGGGATCTTGTACATATAGAAAGTAAAATGTTATTATTTAATCTCCTCTGTCACAAATGTCTGGGTTTAGAATGCATCTATTCCATTAGCATTTAGACAGTCTGTCCAACCCCCGTTCTCCTTATCACTTGGTTTGTATATACTATGCATTCCTTTAGCTCTGGGAAAGTGGTTAGTTTTACAGATAGGATAGAAATTTCGTGTCTCTTTGTTAACTTGAAAATAACAAAATGGAGTATGGTCTGTTCAGAGTGACTCAGAATATACACTTTTAATTTCTCTCATAGCACAAAATGTCTGCCGATATAAATACCCTGACATAACCCCCCTTTAGTGCATTTTGTAGCCAAAAATTAATTTAGCTTATGAATAAGCACTATAGAAGTTACCAGACATATTGTGCAATCACATCATTTCTAACATAGGCCCGTGCGTGGAATGAACATTTTTGTATATATCTGTACCTGTAAGAGTTTTGAACTTTACATTTAGTACAATCAACCATAATATCATTATTATCATAGCACACCCAATAACAATCTTAACATGGATGAACCAGTCAACACGAGCAATAAGGTCAGTATCTAGCTCAGAGTATTTAAATGTATCCACAGAAATGTTATCTTTTCTGATTGACATTTGGATAGTGTGGTTGGGCTTATGGTCCAGCAAGAACTTTAGATTAGGATCTTGAGGGATATCTAGATTCTGGAAGGGATCCACCATCTCAATAGCACTTTCGATGACGTCAGTGTACACTGGGTATAGCATAACGTCACCGATGGTGATACAAGAGTTGTGGGGTACCTTGATCAGTGAGACAGGTGCTGGTAAGGCAATTACTTTATTAGTCACCTGGTCCCTGCGAAAAACACTTATGTTTTTAAGACACGTGCTTACCAACCATTTATCTTTTACTAAGATAGCATGTACTAACGCATTACTGTCGGTTTTTGACATAGTTACTTGACATGATTCAGAGCCATGTTTAAGGTACTCGATCCCACACAAAGCATTGGTAGAATCGTACACAAAAGGTTTTCCATCACATTGGAAATTATTGTCTTTGAATTTCTCACAGTCATTCAAAATGGGTATTGAATACCAATCTGGTACCCACGGTTGAAAAGCCAAAACATCTGGGGTTTGGACTTTTACGTGGATATTTTCCTTCCATGTACCGACATTGTAGATTGTTTTCATTTGAAAAATGTTTTTGGGAGTTACATATGGTATGGCCAATAAAAAGCAAATCTCCATACGTTCCGGATCAATTAAGAGAGGTATAGCGCTCCCCATCTCAAAGGCCAGATTTAATTGCATAGGCTCAATTGTTTCTCCATCCACATTGGCAAGCATCGCATGAACAATATCCTTGGATACAAAATACAGAGGTATGCGTCCCCCTGCCAATTCGATCATTCCAGTTTGCACTTCGTCAAGAAAAGCAAGTGTGTGGAACAATATTGGGTCATGCAGAAATAGAAGTTCACGCTTAAATAAGTCATGACTTTGGTGCAACTCAGTGGATTTGGCAATTAACTCCGAATGCAAATTTGTTGTAACAACTGTGTCTTCCACAATAGTTAACACGTCTTGGAGAAGTGTTCTTTGCTGTTTATCACCTGATGAATATCGTTAATGTGTTGCTTTAGCGCATAGATTTCCATATCCAGCTTTTGGACAGTAATAGAGTTGGCTGCAGACATTCCAGTTGCGACAACTGCACCGACAGTGGCACAAACTAATGCAACAATTATAGCGGTGAGGAACCTTTTGGGTCCGTTGCTCATCGGAATAGAACTGGATATACAAATGGTTTCCGGGCTTGCTCCAAGATGTTTCGCACACGGTCCTGTGCTCTTTGGAGGTGCATCTGGTACCAAGTCTGTAACTCAGGAAGCTGCATCGATGAAATGTTGTATGCCTTCTCGATGGAAATCTTTGTGTCCAAGCTGACGAACACACGTCGGGTCAGGATCCTCTTCTCTGTCAAGATGAACCCTGGTGTCTCTTGAATCAGGATACCAGAGGATGGTCTCATCTCTGCGATCGGGTCGGTCCGTAGCTCTTGGCACAGGAGCAGTACGATCCAGAAACACGCCACATCCTTCTTGGCCATCTTTCGACAGTCACGGATCAGGAACTCGTTTCAGACTTATCTACTAATGATTCAAGGTTTGTTAAGCATACAAACTTATAACAGTGTGACATCACTTGGCCTAGGACAACACATTATTACGATTCATCAACATATGTATTCTGTCTAATTCTATTTTTATAACTTCATCCCTCACTACATTTATTACTGACTCTTCAGTAATTCGCCTATAGCAGCTAAACAAGCTAGTAACCTGCTTAGAAAATGTAGTTATTCGATGGCAAGGAAATGGTTAATGACATGAACGTACATGAGATCATGGCACATCACAAAATTTCACATCATACGATACCACGTGAATCAAGCATTCATCCAGGTTAGTCGTTCATCCTTCTGCATCCGAATCCGCACCTATAATCCTTAATTGAGATTTAGGATGACAAGCACGCAACTGGTTAATGTGAACCCACTTTTCAATAAAATCACCATCCTTAGGAATTTTTATCTTGTACGCTACTGGGGAAATTTTGTCAATGATGACATATGGCCCTTTCCAAGAAGGTAAAAATTTATTTTCCTTGACTTGATTTCGCGCAAAGTTATACAGATAGACTTGATCTGTGATCTCATATTCCTTTTTCGTGGTTTTTAGATCGTAATAGGTCTTAACCCCTGTCGCTGCTTTTTCTAGATTCTTTTGGGCAAAAGCAAATGCATGCTGTAAATGCTTGCGCAAATCTTCGATATACTGATGCGTAGTGGCAGCATTGATCAAGTTATGATCTGAAGTACGATATAGTAAATGCTGTGGTAAAACCATCTTTCTTCCTGTCATTAATTCAAAAGGTGACAATTTGGTAGCAGTGCTAGGTGTAGCTCTAATCGCCATTAAAACTAGGGGCAATTTAATGTCCCAGTCTTTACCAGACTCCTTAACATATTTCTTCAGAATATTAACGATAGACTGGTTATATCGCTCTACCCCCCCGCTAGACGCAGCGCGGTATGCAATATGTAGCTTTCGTTTAACACCTAGAATGTTCCACATCTTAGCCATTACTTCGCTGGTAAAATGACTACCTCTGTCTGACTCAATTCTTTGAGGCAGACCGAACCTGGAAAAGACATGGTTAATCAACAAAGTGGCGCACACGGTACTCGTGTTCTCTTTACAAGGCAAACATTCTATCCACTTTGTGTACATACATGTAACGGTTAACATGTATTTGTTACCTCTTGAAGATCTTGTTACAGGACCTATAAAGCCAATTTGAATATCAGACCAGAGTAATGACACCCCCCTCTTCTGAAGTGGTGCACGATGGGTTGGACCATGGGGTTGATATTGCGGACAAATCAAGCATCCCTGACAGTATGTCTTAACATCCCTTAACATGTGTGGCCAATATGCATAATCACGCAATATCTCATATGTGATCTTATCACCACGATGCCCAGATGTAGGTGCATCATGTGTGTGTTGGAGCATTAACCCTCTGTATACAGTTGGGACTACCCATTGTTGTATACCATGTTTAGAAGTTCTGACCAGTAACCCATCCATGATACTAAATTGGACTTTATATCTCATCAAGATTCGTAAATCTTCATTATCTTTGCAATCCTCATCTGTGATGGGATTGGCAGTAGGGTCTTCTATATGTCTATAGAATATGCCTATGACGGGATCGTTCTTTTGACTAGTAATCAGGTCCTCACTAGGAGCTTCTTGACTCCATTGCACGACGTTTAAGTCGGCATTATCTCTAGCCTGTCGTCTAGTTATGGCTTCAACATGAATTGAACCCATAAGATCATCAATGTTTAGGGTTTCACCATTGATGGCAGCTTGTTTTGCCAGTGAATCGGCTAAGTCATTACCATCCTTGTCAATACCTTCTATTTTAGAATGGTCTTTGGTTTTCTTCCAAAATATGGTTAAACCATTTTCCTTAACCAACTCATCGATTTTACAAAACAATTTCCCATGTTTAACAGGTTTGTCATTGCTTTTGAGCATTTGGTTACGTTTCCAGCTAGGCAGATATTCGACGAAACTGTTGCGAACATAGTTGGAATCGGTTATAATAACAAATTCTTTGATACCATATTCTATTGCCATTTGAATGGTCTTATATACTGCACAGAGTTCGGCTATCTGACTGCTTCTGGGACCAATATTGTATCCTATAGATACATTAGGATAATCACCTGTCCAGGCGATTCCGATACCTGCAACTAACTTCCGTTCAGCACCAACGACGTGGTGATATGAACAACCATCAATGTATACCCACGGTAGTGGTCGACAGTATTCCTCGTCATAAACTTTATAAGGAGATAGCAATTGCTCTTCTAGGAAGTCATCTCCGGTGTCATTATCATCCAGAGATGGAGCAGTACAGTCATGTAATTCTGCTAAACCTTGGGCAACTGGGCTTCTCTTATTATGTTTATAACGGACTTCTAACGGCCATCCCTGTAAGGATAGAGTCCATGCAGTAATCCGACTGTTAGAGAGATTACCGTCTCTAATTCTTTCACTCTGCAGATACTGTAGAGGTTGGTGAGCTGTTTCTACAATTATTTTCTCACCTTGGATATAGCTACGAAAATTTTGTAGTGCCCAGACAGTCGACAATAACGCCTTCTCACACGTGTTGAATTTAACTTCAACAGGCGACAAAGTCTTGCTAGCATATGCAATAACTTTGTTTAAACTGTCCTGCTTCTGATACAGAACAGCACTTATGCTTAAATCGGTATATCCTGTCTCCAGATAGAAGGGTTTACCCCCCTCTGGGTATGCTAAACAGGGTGCCTGAATGAGCTTCCTCCTCAGTTCACTTACCGTTTGGTCCTGAGGCTCCCCCCAGTTCCAGGTAGTTTCCTTTTTAAGCAGGTGTAAGAGTGGTTTAGTTATTTCTGCATAGTTATCTATAAACTTACGGGAGTAGTTAGTCATACCAAGGAACGATCTTAATTCCCTGATATTTGAAGGTGTTTTAGCCTTTAGTACGGCTTCAACCTTCTTCCTCTGGGGATTTAATCCTTCAGAAGTTACCTCATGTCCGAGGAAATTGACATGGGTGCGACACCATTGCGCCTTTTGTAAAGACAGTTTAATCCCTGCCTCTCTTAACTGATTGAGAACATGTCTAATCTCTAAGATATGCTTATCAAAGGAAGTGCTTTTCAGCAAGACATCGTCGACATATGATAACGTTCCTCTCTCGAGTGCATCAGGCATAGCTTTATGCATGAACACAGCGAATTCATGACCAGAGTTTATATAACCGAAAGGCATACGGGTCCAGGTATACTGCTGCTTTCCAAATGTGAAGGCCAATTTGTATTGGTCTTCATTATGGACTGGTACAGTCCAATATCCCTGCGCACAGTCAATGGCAGTGAATATTTTGGATCCCTGCATTTGTACCAAACATTGGTCTATGTATGGCATTGGCCAACCAGACATATAGACGCGTTTATTTAGCTGTCGTAAGTCAGCGCATAAACGCCATTGTCCATTAGGTTTCAGAATCCCCAAGATCGGATTATTATACGAACTGTGCACTGGACGTATAATGCCCCTTTCCTTTAAATTCTGAATGATGTCTTGTAGACCATCATATGACGCTAATGGGAGTCTATATTGTTTGATAAATACAGGTGGTAAATTTGGATCAGTTTGTATTCTGGCTACGTGGAGGTTAGTTAACCCACAGTCGTAGGAATCTTTGGCAAAAATATCTTGGAATTCCAAAAGGATTTCCTTTAGCTGTTGTCGCTCAGCATCGTTGGAGCAACCGTCAGCTAAAGATATTTGCTCTTCTAGCCTTTCCTGAAATCCTGGAAAGATTTCAGGCTGGCCTATCTCATAAGCTTCTTCAAGCCTAGAAGTTAGGTCAGTTCGGTGTTGACTTACCTTTTCTCTTTGGTCGTGATACTCTTGTGATTCCTGCTCATTGAGCGGATGATCGAAGGTGATTGATGCTTCTTCGATTTTACACGAGCCTTCTTCAACGTTGAAGGGATACACAGATAGGATAGTGAATAATCCTTCTGGGGAGGAATGGAATATTTGATCGACAATTTCGTCCTCAGTTAAGTATTCTTCAGGGATGAGGCCTATAATTTGGTTTTGGAAACCAAATGTATAGTACTCAGCATCCAATGCTAGACCTAATAATGTTCCTTTTGGTAAAGTAACACTATTGGGTGTAACATTGTTGATCATGATATAGGTGGGATTCTTACCAATACTTACCATTGGTGTATGTGTTACCACCATCCCTAATTGTTGTATCTTGTTGGATAAACAGATTAGGGCATCAGAGTTTTCTAATCTCTGACCCTCCTTGACCTGTAGGGGTAAAAGAAAATTACTTGTCCCCTGTGGGATGGTTATGTCATCAGGAACTTGGATACTTACCGCATATGGGTTTATTTGTCCTGATTTCAGGGCGTTTTCCTCGTGTAGGTATCCACAAGGATTACCTTTTAACCTTGTCCACAAGTTGGAATTAATCAGGTCAAGGTGTATGGCAAAGCGATGTATGACATCATTGCCAACGTAAACCTGATAGCGAGGTTTGTCTATCACTAGGAATAAATGTTTAACGGTCTTATTTCCTATGGAGATAGATAGTAAACATTTTGCTATCACATTGTAACTCTCTGACTCGCCATCCAGATTCTGGATCCACCTGTCATGTGGGGAAGCGTACCTGATCATTTTAGGATTAGCGATCTGCTTTAACAGACTTCTGCTAATATAGCTGTTCTCACTCTTTAAGTCCAGCTTTGCATTCCTACTTCTTCCTAAGTCATTTATCTGAATAGGAAAGAATAAGTTGTTATTAACCCTTTCGATTCTGGCAAGGAATTGAGCATGACCTGCCAGATCTACAGATTCAACATAGTCCCTGTGGAGAGAAATGGTTAAAAAATCACCTTCCAGAGAGACGTTCTGGATCCTCTCTGGAGCAATTCTTACGGAATGCTCATCTACAGGTGCG